TAAGCAGTCTGCAGGTCATTTATTTAAGAAGTCCTTTAAATCCACTTCAAGATTAACTGTAAGCTCAAAAGTTGCATAAGTGCATATTAAACACAATTGTATGTTTCCTGGCACAAACTTGTGATGTCCTAAACATTAAGAAGCCCTCATGCATTAGCCAGATGAAATCAACTGATCATAAAAACCTATTAAGCTAGCTCGAAGCTCCGATTATTTTTTATTTATAGTAACCTTGAAAAAGGTGAAACACCTTTGGTTGATCCAGAAAATTTAGTCAACAAACAGAAGAATCCAGATCAGACATGCAAAGAAACAAGTGGGTTTTACTCACCATCCAAGGAACGAATTGCATCCATTGCATCTCTGTCATCATCAAACTCAACAAATGCATATCCTGGTGGTCTTCTAGCAACCCAGACACTGCATTAATATTCTTAGCAACTTAGTGGTGCATGAATTATAAAGGCACACGCACAAAGCTAAACTACCAATAAAATTATTTACGAGGCATGAACATGCCTACCCAATTAGAATTAACGAGAAACTAATGGTGCCACTATGACAACAAAAAGAAAGTGGAGATTAAAGCCAGTTGGATGAATATAAAAAGAAAACCCTATAATTGTTATATTGCAGGCTTAAGCTCATATAATACTAAGGTAAACAAGAGTATCCAAGTTAATACAATATTTATCTATTTATTCAATAATCAAAAGATTCCAGGCATGAAAATGATCATGAATGCAGGAGTACAGCCCAAACCAGGAGCATTACAACTAAGATCCTACCAAGGGAAGGGGGAAGGAGAAAAGGAAGGATTTCCCACCATACTTTTCCTTATTTGAATAAAATATATTTTTTATGAAAAAAAGGAAAGGAAAGGGAGGTTTGGTATCTCCTGCTTCTCCTTCAATGTTCAAATTTTTCATTCCCTCACACTGGGGAAGAAAGGCGGAGGAAAAGATTTAAAACTTCCAATGGTTAACTTTCTTTTTACCCCTAATTGTCCAATTCATTATATGAATAAAGGGTATCATTGAATATTTTTTATCATTAATCCTTTTTTAAAAAACCTAAAAGAAAACAACGAATTAGAACTATCATTTCATTTCCTTAATTTTCAGTCATCGGATCAGAAAAGTTGTTCCTTTCCTTTCCTTTCCATTCCACTACTTTACTAATTTTCTCCCTACAGATTGTTGACTAATACCCCATCCACGTTAACAATTTTAAAATTATATTTTACGTAAAAGATAAAGAGAAATTTCATAATAACCAGAAACTGTAAAATCTAATGTTAAGTTCGTCCGCCTCATTAAACCTTCTAGACATAAAGCTCGTAGATAAGAACAACTAATTTTAAAGAGAGTAGTAAGCACGATCACAAAACGGACACTTGACTAAACAGATTCAAATAAACTAAACCAAGTCTTTATCTTCGAGGAAAAAACTTGGCAAGAAAGAGAATCACCTCCGAAGAACACCATACATCCTAAATTCATCTTCGAGGTCCCTCTCGGTAACTCGAGGATCCAAATTCCCAACATAAACTCGAGACATTCTCACGAACCAGTATCAATCCTAACCGAAAGAAGAAAAAAAAAAAAAAAAAAAAAACCTTCAAGCGTTTTAACAAGAAATTTTGCAATAGGAACCGAAGAAGCACGCAGATTGAAGAGAGTTAGGGTTTTGTAAAGGGAGAGTTAGGAGAGGGTGGAAAAGAAATTAAGTAGATTCAGGTTAGGGGTAACACGTACCGACAAACTTGTAAGACTTCCAACAGGAGAGAGCATCAAATTGGCCCTGCAAGCATCAAGTAGCAGAGCAGAGCCGAAAACCCTGAAAACTAAAAGAGATTTGCTGGAGATTTTTCAGGTGGACTGGAAACTTGCAATGGCCCCAATCGGTTTTTAATAATTTAATCGAATGGACTTTAATCGGGTTGTGGGTTTTTTTCCGAGCCCATCCGGGCAAATATGATTAAAAATATTCATCATATTTATTTTGTTTTCTGCCTCCATATTTAACTAAATTTAAATTTTGATTTCATATATTTACTTTTTTTTTTTTCTGTAAAAGGTGAGATAAGATCAATTGAGGTGATCATTTTTATCGATTTTAATTTTATTTTCTTTTAACGTTTAAAACAACAAAAATGAAATAAATATAGTTATAATTTATTTTCAAATCAAATAAAATTATAAAACCAAAATTAAACCAAATAATCAGGACAAGTTAGTAAAAATTTAAATTTATATGTGAAGTTGGGTAAGAAATTATTTACTTAATTACTTTTCACCTGCAATTTCTAAAACTTTTATAAAAATATTAAATGAATAAGTAAAATTTTAATTAAAAATTTAAATATTATATTTAAGATATAATATATTTAATAATGAACATAAAATAATATTAAATTTTGATTAAATTTAAAAAATTAATAATAAAAATATACTCATTTACACATCTTTTATATTTATATTTTTATACACATGTATCTCGTGATCAGTTAATTATAAATTTTTAGTACTGATTCGCCCTGTGCCTCTGTAATCTAGAAACATGGTTTCAAATGAATTTTATACTGTCTATTAATCTCCTTTCCAGATGATATTGAATTCGAATCGGCCCAAAACACCATTGTGTTCTTACCAAGAACCTATTTCAGTAAGAAAAATAAAATAGTTTCTTTGTTCAATCATTTCTGGCAACCCACCAATTTGGTGAATTGAACAAGAATGATAACAAATTATGAGCAAAATTGAGTTAAAGTCCAGAAACTTTTGAAAACCAAGAACGCAGTAGAAGACGGAGGACGAAGATACTGTATCTCTGAGACAAGTACGCGAATCTTGTTTCTCATCTATCTGCTGTTTGACTTGAGGGTTTTGGCGGGGAGATGGAGGACGAAGATGGGATCAGAGAAAGCAGCAGCGGGACTGGGTTTGTTGGGGCCGGCGGCGTTGGGGGAGAAGGCAGGTGGGTTGATGGGAGTGAAGTTGACTCAGAGTCGCCTCCATGGTCACTGCTCGACGAGGCTGATAGCGGACAAGTGTATGGGACTATGAGGAGGAGGTTAATGAAGAAGCCCAAGCGAGTTGATTCTCTTGATGTTGAAGCTATGGAGATTGCCGGTGATCATGGTCACCGCTCCAAGGTACTCTATTAATCATCACTGCGTTTCAATTTTTGAATTACAATGCTTGTTTCTTGTGAGTTGAGAGAGAGAGAGAGATACGAAGGTCTTTTCAGGATACCCTACATCCATTTTGTTTAAAATCCCGCTTCAGTTAGTAACTTATTACATACTGGGGCAAAATTTTTTGGAAGCTCAAAATTGAAGTTTGTAACTTGAGAAAAATATCAGTCACCTACCCCGTTTTCCCCCCAGTGGATTGATGACTGACTGCTAGTAATTTGCTAATGGAGGTATTTCAAAAAATAATTTGCTAATGGAGGAATGTGAACAGTCGTAAATGTATAGAAACATGGCCAGAATATGGACAGCAAAAATTTTACTTTTATCTAAATAAGATGATTGTAATTTATTTATGAGTTTAATGGAAAAAGGGATTTATCTCTCTCGACATTCTATGTGAAGAGGCATGAATTAGGATAGTTGGAAATACAAAGAGCCTGCTTCAACTGTGTATGCCAGCTGACTTCCAACAAAGCAAAAAATTTCTTTTCTTGGCTCTTTCAAGAGTGGATTTAAATTTCAACAGGAAAAAATGTTTGTCTAATTTAACTTTATCACTTAAATGCACCAGGATCTTTCTCTTTGGCAAACTCTTGCAATGGCATTTCAAACGCTCGGCGTGGTATATGGTGACATGGGCACAAGTCCTTTATATGTCTTCTCGGATGTGTTCAGCAAAGTTGGCATTGAATCAGAAGTTGATGTGCTGGGGACTTTATCTTTAGTGTTGTACACGATTGCTCTTATTCCCTTAACTAAATATGTCTTTGTAGTGCTCAAAGCTAACGATAATGGGGAAGGTAAGAATTTACAAATCAAAGTCATACTCACCTTGCTTTATTCCTAATTAATTTTGTTGACCATATATTTCTGAAGATATCAATTATTCCAATTGCAGGAGGCACATTTGCATTATATTCACTAATCTGCAGGTACGCTAAGGTCAATCTGCTGCCAAATAGTCAGCCAGCTGATGAACGCATCTCAAGTTTTAAGCTCAAACTCCCCACTCCCGAGTTGGAAAGGGCTTTAACCATAAAAGAGATCTTGGAAAGTAGATCATCCTTGAAAACCTTTCTCTTGCTGCTGGTCTTGATGGGAACTTCCATGGTTATAGGGGATGGCATTCTGACACCAGCTATATCAGGTAGATTGATGATTTCAAATCGTTTCTCTAGTATTCACTGCGCTATAGTTTCCAAATTGGTGAGGAACAGCCAAATATATTGAACCAAATAGCAAACTTTTTAGTTGATATAATTATGCATTTTCTTCCCATTAGTGAAGCTTGTGCCAGTGGCTTCCTATTTAGATCTGGGATTACTCAGAATGCAAGTTTTACTAATCGTAAAAATTCACAGCAAGATGAAGTTCAACGATGTATGCTTGGTGCTTTTAACTAC